ATCTCATTTGGTAGGTATTACCATTTATTTGTTTCCATTTTTCATTCAAGTCATAAGTGAATGTTTACGGTAAAAAAAAAAAGCGAAGCACGTGAAGTATAGCTTATTTATTTGTCATGGACTTAGACCGAATTAGTAGAAATATGCATATAGATTTAAATACATTATTTTTAAAAATAACCGAAGCAATCAATAAAAGTTAAAATAAAAAATAATTTCATAAACTATAATCATTTATTAAATTTATAATTAATTTTTATTTTTATTTTATTTTTTAAATTTTAACTTAGATCAAAGTAACTGTGGACCAGATGAAACTAAAATTTTTTATCTTCCTACCTTGAATTGAAGTGTGTTATAATTTGGTTACATCCAGTCTAATTTAAATAGTTTGTTTTTATTTAAACCGAAATTTAAACATTTATATGGATTGATTCAATTTTATAAATATATTAAATAAGTGTAAAAAATAATCAAAATTAATAAAAATAAGTTAAAATCAACTGTTTAACTAAAAAAAAAAAAAAACTTATTTATTTATCTTTATATATTTTTATTCGATTCATGAGGGTAAATCTAAGATATTCAACACTCTATTTATCTTTATACATTTTTTTAAATTAACAGTTCAAATAATAAATTACTAATCATACCCAATAAATAAGTGACTGACTAGGTTAACATTTGTATAATTTTTAATAAGAAAAAACATAAAAAGAGGATTTAGAAGACATACGATGGAGTGTATACAAGATACTTGAGAGGTGGGAAAATGGAGAAGAGTGATTTAGGAACAAGCTCAAAGTTGCAGTGTCCCATGTTGTTCATGAAATCAATGTAACTCACGTATCCGGTTAAGGAAGCCACGGAGGCTGTTGTGGTCAACAGTGTGGTCAACATCGGAATCGCGAATAATGAGAAATATGCCACGTGTTCCGCAAATGGATGGATCACCGCTGCATTTTTTAATTTTTAATTTTATTTTATTATAAAATATTTTCATTTACTAATTTATAAATATTATGATAGTTACTTACATGTTATGGGCTCAGTGACAATAGATGAATGGTGATGAGAATGATAGCGAGAGTAGAGGAAGTGATGGTGGAGAGCTCTGTGGAGCCAGTAGTAGAGAAACTCAACTGGACCCGCATGAAGCAGAGCTGTGATAATCACACCGTCTGTTCTCCAAATTGGTAAATTTGAAGCTTGATGAATCATCCTCTGACCCACGTAGAACAGTATTCCGTTTAATAATATCTGATCGTCCCTGTAAATTAATTATATAACTCATGTTAAAATATCATCTTACGATATTATTTAATAAGAAAATTATTTTTTAAAATAAAAATATTAATTAAATTTCTAATCCTTTGTAATTACTCCAATCAAGTAAATCTAACCGTTACAAATTATTTAGTTCGTTTAAAAATATAATAATTTTAGTGTAATTCTATTAATATGCTAGTAAATTAAATATTAATATATTGAATTAAGTACTATAATTCGATCATTGTTAGACTATAATACACTCATAAAAATGACAGTTCTATATCCTATATTTTTATTTAAAAAAAAAAAAAAGAAAGAAAACATTACCACGAAGCTTCTCTGTCAACTTGTTGAAACTCAAGACCCTTGTCAACGATTTTATTGGCGCCTTTAGCTGTTCGATAACGTGAAAGAGAAATCCAAATTTGGTTGTGAAGCATTCTGACAAGAAGAAAAGGGAGTATGAGGAAGTATGGAATGTCCCTCGCCTTTTCTCCTTTCATTGTGATCAAATAGGTGCTATGAATCGCCCATGGCATTAGAATAATGTACTACAATAAAAAATAAATAAATAAATAAATAAATAAAATATATAATTAAGTACTCTTACAATCTATAATTAGGCAACATACTTTCTTACAATCTAATTTTAAATATAATTAATTTAGTCTTACAATCTATTTTAAGGTATAGTTAATTACTATTACAATATATTTTAGATAATATAACGTTTTTTATTCTCCAATTAATGCCCTTTTTAGGCAACATCTTTTCTTTTCACATCCATATCTTAATACACTCTCATACATCCATGTGTACTTATTGTATTTAAATAAATGCTGTCTTTGGAAAAAATGTTGATCTAATAATAATTAATAAACTACTTAATGATATTTAGGAAAATGATTTTTTACGCTAATATAAACATCAAAATTCAACAACCTTTTAAGTTTATATATATAAAACAATTTTATATTTTGCCTTCTAACTTGATATTTCACTAATACTGCATTAATGGTAATTAAAAGCAGAATGTCTACTTAAATTAAATAAAAATTTAATTATTTAATAAAAATTCAAATTTTAAAAGAAAATAAGAATTATTCATTAATTAGTACTTTAATTATTTTTTATTGCATAAATTTGAATAGTGTACTTTCAACTTTTATTATATTATATTTAATAAAAAAATCAACTATATCATAAAAATTTAAACCTGTGGTACCAACAGTGTACTCTTCATGTTTTTTTTTTTTTTTTTTTTTAAAGATAAATGAGAAATTTAAACTTGAATTATCTATTATAATGCAAGAATTATATTATTTAAATTAAATATTCTTAAGAACAGGTCTTTATAGTTGATTTATTTCCTTAAATTTTGAAGAAATCATGGATTTAAAACCCAAAAAAGGAAAATATGAGTGGATGTAGGGAGTGAAATAGTTCTTCAAACTCTAAATATGGCATCAAAATAATAAAGTAAAAAAGAATGGTTTTCGGCTTGAACATCGAAATGGATGTGTGTGTGTGTGTGTGTATATATATATTTATGTACATATGCGTATGCGTGTGTGTCTACGTATGTAGGTACTTATACCTTGAAGCTGCCAAGAGGCTTCCATGGCCAGGAGGTGAGGATTCCAGGGGTTGAAGCCATGCTCACAAAATGAGAGGAAGAAGAAGCTGTTGTACACTCCTTCAACGCCTCCCTTACTCTATTTATAATCTCTTCTTCCTTTTCCGAAAAATTAAAATAAATGTTATTTTTTTTAGGTCCAACTTTTTTTTTTTAAACCCGTAAATACAATATAAAAAATTTATATTAATAAAGAGTTGAAACTGACTCTTTAATATAGAGAAAAGCATAGATGATTTTTTTTTTTTTTTAAATTTTAAACTGCGTTGATTTTTGTTTTTGAATCAATTCAATTTATCTCATTTTAAATTTTATTGGAAATTAAATTATTAACAAAATAAGACTTTTTTTTTTTTTACTTTTGTTAGAATTATTTTTCATGGTTGTAAAAGATATTATAAATCAAAATAATTTTATAAATTTAAGTATTATAACAAAAAAAAAAATATGGCCTAATTAAAATATCGTGAATAATTCAGTAATTAAAATAATAATTTTGTACATATTTTTAATAATTTTTGTATCATATCCACAAACTTACATACATATATATATATAGTTAATGAGCTACCGAATAGATTATCATTAACCAGAATATGTTACAAGATTTTTTTTGGACAAGCTATATTGTAATTATCCTAATTAATATGAATAAACTATTTCATTTCCGAATTGTATACACATATGCAAATGTTTTAAATTCAACAGATCTTGTTGTCGAGAGAATAATATAACACAGAAAACCCTAGATTTGAAGCATAACGTCCAGGAGAAAGTTGGCGGACTTTCGTTGGTCCGAACTTTGTTATTTCTTCAAACTGAATTAATTCATTAAATACAATTGCTATCTTATTAAAACCCGACGCATCATTCCCCTTTTCAAATAAATAAATAATTTTTAATTGTTTATTAATTTAAAATATTTTCTAAATCGAATTAATAAAATTATATTCCGATGATGACATGCAGAAGAATGCACATAATTCATACGCAGTGTCTTAAAAATTAATTAAACTACCGTGAAAATGAATAATTTAGTTTAAAAAATAAATAATTATAATGATTGTGACAATTAGGGTTTATCATGTGCTACATTTATTATTGTACACCAGAAAATATAAGTTCGAAAATGAAATCATGAATTCAAATGTTTC